GAAACAAAAGGGGGAGGATTTTGCTGTCGCTTAGATCAAGTGTTGGGTGGAAGACAGATTAAGGAGCCTTAGAAGTCCTGAGCTGTTTTTGCATCTCCTTCTGCAGACCGGTTCAACGTCTTCCTCCTGCCCTGCCCCAACTTGGACATCTATGGCGAATGCAAGTTGCAGATCACCCATGAAAACATTTACCTCTGGGATATGCACAATCCCCGGATCAAGCTCGTTTCCTGGCCTTTGTGTTCCCTACGCCGCTACGGACGAGATGCCACGCGGTTCACCTTTGAAGCTGGCCGGTATGTCTGCAGCTGGATTCTTTGGTCCAAAGTCTCCAGCCAGTTTTTATTCCTAAGGCAGGACTAGAACTCACCGTCTCCGAGTTGTTGCCCCAAAGTCACCCAGCCAGCTTTCATGCCTAAAGTGGGACTAGAACTCACCGTCTCCTGGTGGTTGCCCCAAAGTCACCCAGCCAGCTTTCATGCCTAAAGTGGAACTAGAACTCACCGTCTCCTGGTGGTTGCCCCAAAGTCACCCAGCTAGCTTTCATGCCTAAAGTGGGACTAGAACTCACCGTCTCCTGGTGGTTGCCCCAAAGTCACCCAGCTAGCTTTCATGCCTAAAGTGGGACTAGAACTCGCCATCTCCTGGTGGTTGCCCCAAAGTCACCCAGCCAGCTTTCATGCCTGAAGTGGGACTAGAACTCACCGTCTCCTGATGGTTGCCCCAAAGTCAGCAAGCTGAGGTGGACTTGAGCTCGCAGTCTCTTGCCTTCTAACCTGGTACCTTAACCACTAGGCCTAATTCTTCACAGTGGGTTGTAAAGCACGTTTTATTCTTTGCCCTCTTCATGCTCCCTACCGATATTCATGGACGGGATGCAACCCTGGATACAGCAGAAACCACTCCGGCCAGGATAGGTTGGTGGTGGTTACGGGCAACCTGCACTTGAGTGGAAAGTTAAATACAAAAACTTCACGGCGTTACTCACTACACAAAATAGGGAACTGTTTGCTGTAATGTTCAGGCAGTCCTCGACTTACGACCACAATTGAGCCCAACATTTCGGTTGATAAGGGAAACATTTGTTGTGCATTTCCCCCATTTTATGACCTTTCTTGCGGCCGTTGTCAAGTGAATCACTGCAATTGATAAATTAGTCAAAACCTTCGTTAAGTGAATCTGGCTTCCCCGTTTGTCAGAAAGTGGCAAAGGGGGACCACGTGACCCTGTGAGGCTGCAACCGTCATAAACATGAGTCAACCACCCAGGGTCTAAATTTTGATCACGAGACCCATGGGGATGCTACCAACGGTCGTCGGTGGGAAAAACTGGCCCCTAGGTCTCTATTTTTCAGTGCCGTGGTAAATTTGAACGGTCACTAGATGAAATTTTGTAGCACTTGGTGGATTTTAAGGCTTTCAGTCTCTTCCATGGGAAGCCAGAAGTCTGTTTCCAGGACCTTCCATCTTTCTCCTTTTATAAGCTACCTGTAAGGATTCTAAATATCATCCAGAATTAAATCAGAGTCCAAGGCAGAGCTTTCCTCAAAGGTCCAATTTAATAAGAGAGACATGTTGGTATATCTGTAGGAAACCCAAATCCGAAAGCTTCCTGGGTTTCCACCCAGTTGAAAGTTCATGATCTTGTCCCCACACCCACAAATCCATCACATGATCCAATCTTCCTCTGCCACGCTGGCATTTCCACCCATCCAGTTCCTTTCAGGTGCAGAGGTGCAGAGACAAATGATGACCTTGGGCTTCTAGAAAGGAATGTTTTATTTTGACAACAACACATTCTACAATTC